TATTTAGGGTTCTCAGGAGCTCATTACCCTTGCTTGTGATCAGACGTGATCCCCAAGAAGTGTGCTTGCAGTTAAAATCACCACCTACAAGAAATTTCGCACCCAATTGATGGAAAAACTGTTCAAAATCTGTTTGCTTGATATTATGTCGTGGAGGGCATTCCAAAGTGCAATTCTTAAAAATTTAGCCATTACGGATTAATTTTATTTAATAAAGTTGTTAGCAGGTTTAAAACCACACCATTTTGATGAATTAATTGATTAAACATCTGTTTGAATTCGTGCATGAACTGAGCGAAGCTTGCGGATATGCCTGAAGCAGACTCTGGAATAACGTTGTTATTTAACGCCTGTGCATATGTTCGAGGGTGACCTTGATTAGCGATCTGATTTGGATTTAGATTCGGGTACGGGTTAGTGGTAATAGTTGGATTAACCGTATGTCTGTTGTTGGATTTTTGGTTTATAAACGTTTGTGGTGTATTATGATTCATTTTTGGAAATTTTTGATTATATACCTTCTTATATGCTGGGCATCCACGATAACTAGCTGCATGATCCTTAATTACATTAATACATTTTCAGGTTTCTTGCAGTCCGATGTAGTATGATTGTTACCACAACGGGAACAAGTAAACGGCTTATTGCAGTAACGTTGAGTGTGACCGAATTGTTGGCATCTTTTGCATTGCACAACGGATTTATTATAGTGTGGCGGTTCTATACGAATTATGTTGTTAAGAATCTTTGTTACGCTGTATATGTCTTTGTTATTTTTTGCGGGTTCAAGATCAAGGTAAAATAAATTTAGTGGCTTCCTAGTTTCTCTGTGTAGTATATTTGTAACATTTCTTACTTCATGACCTATCTTCACGAACTTATTCTTGATTTCTGCAATATCTGTGGTATGATGTAAATACCTGATTACAACACGATACGCCCTTTCCTCTTTTAGTTGGTAAGTATGATGAATAACATTTGTTGCACGCAAATGTTTAGTTAGTTTTCTGAAAACATCAGAATTCTGACACATTAATTTAGTTACATTATTATTTAAGGAGCGGAAAGTGTATTGTTCGAGATCAATAATAGTGTTGATTTCGTCCATCATATCTTTATAATTGTCGACGCCGTAAATAAAAATCGGTGGAGGTCTCTGATTGGTTGTTGAGAAATCATTATTATTGGTAGTATTGATAATAGTGCTTGGCAACTGATTTATGCTATTTAGCGGTTCGAATCTATTTGACAGAGTAACCGGAGTGCTATTAGTATCATCAGATAATTTACGCTTCTTACTTTGTACAATTTTTTTTGTTGTAACAAGTTGCCACGAATGTTTCGGATTAGTTGTACAAATATTTTCCGTATTGTATGTTTGAACCTTAGTTAATTGTTTGGGCATATTTTGATTTTGACTACATACCAGCTTTGAAGCAGTCACTGCAGGGTCTTGTGAATTGCATTGAATAGCTTGTTCAATATTGGCTACTTGCATTAGATCGACGTCCATATTGGTATTTGATGTTGAAATATGCTTATTAGCAGACGAAAGTTCTGTTTCCTTCAGACGCAATTGTTCATTGACATATTCAGAACATGTTAGTGAATCGTCGTAAAGCACGTTATATGTTTCCGTAATGGAAAATTTGTCCATAGTGTCCCCCGCAAGGTGACACTTCTCTAAGTTGTGTAAAGTTAGCACAGTGATTTGTCAAAAATTATTTACACAAAAACACTGATTAATCACACTGAAACTAAGTATAAGATCACTAGACACTCACAGCGCGTGTTTGATTTGCCATAAAATCAATTTTTAGTATTTATTATGGTTTAAATCCGCCAAAAAAATTACTTTAAATAAACTAGGCGAAAATCAAATGACAGAAACAAAAGTTTAGAAAAGTAAATTGAGTTAAACAAAACAACTTCAAAATAAATTAATATTTATTACAACTCTGATAATGAATATTTCTGACAGAATACCAGCCCAAGGTAATATACGCTGTGATCTTTGTAAAAAATGTGTTCGTAAGATTTTTATTTCGCATTGGTTAAAGAATGTAGCTAATACTACATGAAGATCTCTTCAAAATTGAAAATAAAAAATGGATCGCTTTGTCCCCTGACTGTTTTTTACCCCGCCTATGGGGTAAAAAGGGACAGATGATGAATTTAAAAAAATAACAAAAAAACATTTATATAAATAGGAATTAATTGGGAATTTTACTGAACATAGTTGGATAGTTGAGATAGAGCCCATGGGGAATAATATGAAGTATGTTTGTTCGAACAAGATTTTATTATTGCTTTGAGTCGGGTGTGGACGGTTGTGACTATTTGATTTTATGACTGATCTTAGATCCATCACATTGAAGGACAGTATTTCAGTATATCCACATAGGCAAATATTCGAATTAAAATTTAAGTTACTTGTTTCCCAGCTATCTGGCGAATTAACAAAATTATTGCTGTTCAAAAAAAGTGGCACAACCCTATAATTGCTGAAAGTTAAACTTCATTGCCCCACCCTACCCTATGTAAGTAACATATCACATGTAAAACCTATAATTCTTGAAACCATCAAACTCAAAATTCCGCAAACTTGTGTCTTTGCCATCAACCAAAAATGTGAGATAATTTAAAAAAATCTATTTTTTACTTATTATTTTGAATAGTTTTCTTCATTATTTATTCAGTTATATTACATAGTTAAAATTATATTCATTACTTTAAGGGTCATTAAATAACTGGTCCGTTGCTGGCCTCTGCTTCAATATACGCTAATAATGGCACAAAAATGTTGTTTTGCAATGAATTATTTCCAATGATTTTTATCATTTAAATTCACTTAATTTCATTGCATATATATGTATGTAGTACTTAAAACATATAGAAGTGTGTGTGTAATGCATTCAGTTTTATAATGAACGGTGTACGACGAGAATAAGCAGTTAATTAATTAACCATACAATTAGTTAAATGAATGCATTTTCTGGCTCTAGTCTAGAGCATAACGATCGTTCAGCCGCCGCGAGAGTTTGTATTATCAAATTAATATTATAGTAGATTGGATGCTCTACTTCGGCACTTTCAATAGCTTTTTGACTTGTGCATTTTCAATGCTCATATTTTCTTTTGTCAACACGAGTCGAACATTTGTAGTCGAACGAAAACGTTTAAATATTTTAAACAGTCATAAATATAAAATATACAACAAACTCTTCGTATTGTGTTTAAGAAAGAAAGAATTTCTTAGATAAATATTAAGCATTTTGTGCGTAAAGGAAATTGTGAGCGTAGACCGTAGACAAATCAAAATGAAATTAAGGGATGAAAAATTCATTTTTTTGACCATGAGGCTATTCTGGAGTAACATGTTTATTTATTTTACTTTGCAGTAAAGCGAGACTCAAACGACTGCAGGTAAAAAAGTCCACCACCGATATCTCAAAAACTGAAGTTTACATTTTTTTAACAGTATTTGAAAGTAAAAGGAAAATGATGTATAACCGCTATCGGGAGAGTTATACAATACGTAATAGAAGTATTTTCTTTCGTTGATATTTTTTTGGTTGTGAGCACTGTTGTTTAGTTTACGAGACATTATTATAATTTTTACGTATACGTTATTTAATTGTGTTATAAGATGTAATGTTAATTTTAAGCTATATCGGTAGAGTTAACCTCTACTGATGATTATTTCTGACGATATACCACATGAAGGTTATATACAGTGTTAACTCTATAAAAATGTACTCATAAATTTTATATTCTTCATTGATTGCATAATGTAGCCATTATTTAGTAAAGTTCTTCTGAAATTAAAAGTAAGACATTATATCTGTTTCTCTCTGGCTGTCCGATTTTACTACGCCTGCAGGGTGAAAAGGACCAGGTCACCAATTTTTAAAAAATAGCAAAACAACACATTTATACAATGATGACGGTTTTATCAGTTTTACTGAACACAGTCAGTTAGTTATTTGTTTGATAAGTGTTGTTTGTTATGATATAATTTGTCTAGTTTCCACATCGTTGCTCAAATTCTTATTGAACCTTATATTGGAAATTATTAAATATGTTTTAACCTAATATAACATTACATCCAACACGTGAAAAATTGATGATTTCCTGAAATGTATATATTTGCAAGAAAATGGGCACTGCCAATCGTTTTTCAAGTCATTCTGAATCGTTGGACACCCAAATCGGAAAAAGTGTGTATGTGTATATATGTATATATGAATCAAAATTTGATCTTTTGTTGACGTTTACTTAAAAACGTCTGCACCAATTTTAAAAGCCATTTGGTGAAGCTCGGACATCCGTTGATTAGTTTTGCACGACGATTTCATAAGCCGTTTTTTTATATTTAGTGTCAAAAATTTTGAACCGACTTTTTTAAAACTGTTTGAAAGATTTTTTGGAAATCTTACTGATTAGTTTGTAATAAAGTTTGATTTGGTAATATTTTTTGACGATTTTGATGAGACTTTGTGGGATGATGAAGTTTATGGTCCTGTCGAAAATCCTAAAACTTATTAATTAAATTAAAATTTTAAAATTATATATAATCAATTTTAAAAGTTACTGAAAATCAATTCTTAATGATTAAATCAATTATTTACACATGCAAGCAAGCTTTTGCAACTTGCATCAAGAGATGATGCCTGTCAGATCTGGTTATTATTTTGATTTACTTGATATGAAATATGAAATGTACAAAAAATAGTTTATAATCACTCAATGGCATTTTTATGAATACGTTCCATAATATTTCAGTTAATATAGATTTTTGTTATAAAGTAAATTGAATAATCAACAGTAAAATGTAGTAGTAGTTTTGAACAGTAACAATTTAAATCATATGTCATGTGTAAATTATGGTCAAATTCACTATACTTGGTATAAGCAAATTTTCGGTAAAACACTTAAAAATACGTATACAATGAATTGTATCTAGAAGATGAAACTAATCTTAATAATTATTGACTTACCTAAATTGACAAGAAGAATGATCAATAAGCTGGCCGCTCGTAGCATGACACAAATGCATGACGGCTTTGTCTGAATGCCCAAATACATCACCGCATTTCACAATTCTGAAAAATAAATACGTTGTGTTAAATTCCAAATCGATTGAGTACCATTTTTTTAAAAAATAAACCAAGATTTGACATTCAGTTATATTTCTGTATATATAATATGTGTTTTTATTAACTTTCCCTCCGTTGGTCGGAGTGATCTGGCCAGACTTTTTTCAACTTCAATTTAAAAAAAAAAATACTTTTAGTAATCCTATCGACTTGAAATTTCTGGACTTTTCCTAAAATTTCATTAGCTGTCGATCAATGAAAAAATCAGGACGAAAAAATGTGTGGTCCAGCCAGACTACTCCGACCGTTCGAAGATAAATAAATATCTGACTGACGGAGAGTTAATATATAACATAAAACTAATTTCTGTTATTCTAAATTAAATACGTAACTATAGCTATAATAATAATCGGGACATATATGATGAATTGTAAATTTCAAGAAATTTTGAATTTTTTAATGATGTCATTTAAAACAAAAAAAATCTTAAGCGCGAATATTAGTAGTGTTCTTCTACTTTGCATTGCCATCAAGTTTGTTATACAAGATTAAATCTATGTAAAAAGCCTTGTTTAGTTCTTGTTTTATATTTTAAATACTATGATAGGACCTTATATATAAGCACATAAGCAAATAGTGGTTTCGCCTTGCTAATAATTTTATAAAATTCCAAGTTACAAGAATCTGAATTATTGTTGAATTTATGCAATTTCTTCATATCAATTTAAAATATTTTGACATGGCCTTTCCTAAGGAGCAAATATTGGTTTCGTCCATCTACTTCGAGCATTCCTTCAAACATGTTACAAAAGTCTGATTACTTGTTAAATTCATACAATTTTTCTAGGTAAATTTATGTGTCCTACCCTTATCATAAATAATAGAATCGTCCACCTAGTGTTAATTCGTGCAATATGATTGGTCCTAATATATCTGCAAGTGCCGGTGCTTGCCGAAGACGTTTGCACAATGTTGCGCAACCTCCTCAATCGACTCGTATAGAAAAATTAGTGTATTATAAAACAATTAGTATATTAGTATAGTATGAAACAATTAAAAAAAGATGGTGCTAAATTCAATTTTGTAATAAAATTGCAAATTATGAACCTAATATGGACATTTTTATAAATAAAGGTATTTTGAATGTAAGTCGGATTTTATGAATGGTTTCATTAGTCACAAATCAATAGGAATTTAGTACAGCATTTAGTATTTTTTCATATATACAAATAATATGTTTGATAAAATGTTCTTTAACTAATTTATTTTCAGCAGAAATCCAATTCTGAGAACAGAGGTCCTTAAAAACATTTCAAAAACTAGCTGTAAGTGGAATTCTGTCTTAAGGCAATTAGGGCATCGTGCCTTAAGGCAAATTGCTGGAACTTCCCGTACCAAAAATTATTATTTTTTTTTAACATTTTTGAAAAAAAATTACTTTGAAAAAATAAGATTTTTGAGAAACTATAAATTGGACAAAAAATTAGTTTTTTTTGAAAAAAAATTTTTTTAAAAAAAATTTTTTTTTAATTTTTTTTTTCTTTATTTTGACATATTGTGGAAGATCTGAACTTTTTTTTCAAAGCAATCGTACTGATTTAACTACATAGGGACAAAATATAAAGCGCGTAAGCGCCGCGTCGCTGTCTAACGCATAAGCATTGGTACGGAACCCATAGGAATGTTAACAAAATGTATACTTATTGTTAAAATCTCTATAAAATATCTGATAATTTAATGTGCATATGTTTAATGATCATTTTTGACCGCCAAATGGCTCATTTTTTTACTTTTTCCTCTATATCTCCGAAACCGCTGGACTTACCTTCATGAAAGTTGTATCGATTCTTCATCTTGTCAATACAAATAAAATGTTTTTTGAATTATTAAAATCGGACGCTCCGTTCTCTTAAAAACTGAGTTACCGTTTTCGGAACTTTTTGCCCCGTATCTTCGGAACGGCTTGACCTGCCTTTGCCAAAAACTAATCAGCACGTCTCCTTATCAATACGGATCGAATGTTTTTTGAATTATTCAAATCGGTTGATCCGTGTTCCTGAAATCGTCGACGAAAATTTGTATCCGCACATACATACACACACATACATACATACATACATACACACACACACACACACATACACACACATACACACACACACACACACACACACACACATACATCCATTTTTTCTAAGGTATGCCAAAATGTTCAGAAACCTCTGAAACGTAAAGATATATAAAAATTTTCATTTTCGATTTTTTTGCGATTACTATAACTTGCCCTACGGGAAGTTAATAAAGTGAAGAATTCGCTAGAACAAAGGGTCAACTTCACAATTCGTGAAAAATACATTTATAAGATATAGATGTTATGATCCAAAACAAGTGAATAAACACCATTAAAAAAGTACAAGAACAATAAAGTAGTGATAGAATAGTGAATTAATATTGCGTTTTTTTCAATCCGAGTGTGTTTATCGTTTTTTAGTGCTTCTTTAGTGTTTTATAAAAGCTTTTATAGTGTTCTAGTGCAGTGATAGTGTCTTGTTTCTGGTTCCTGGTTTTGGTTTCTTATTCTTGATCAACTTTCTTCTGGAAATCACGAGGTAATACACACATTTTTAGCATAAATCGATATTTTATAATATTTCCAAAATTGCTAATTTTTTTTTCTATTCTTCAGACAACAAACTGGTAATCGGGATGTTCGAGAAGAATCGGTGTTTATAACCAAAGGTCAGTGCATTTTAAATCTGACGCATGACTTCTAAGGGTACGGTCATACGTCTCATTGTTCGTCCACAAAAAACCGTAAACTAGGTTATAGTTAGGAATTTGCCAAATAATTATATAATTAAATTTTTTTAGTGTAGGCAAAATTGTGACCGTACCCCTTGCTAATCCACAAATTTCTTTCAGCCTAATAAAACTTCTTAAAATAGAAGTGAGTGTAGTAGATGATAAAATTCGCGTAAATTAATCAATTATTAAAACAAGAGTGCTAATTAAACAAATTTTGCATAATTTCGCGTAAAACAAAGTGTGTGTGTATGAACAATTTGACTGTGCAATTTTGCGAAGAAATGCTGACATCCATGCAGCCTGAGGTAAGATTAAGTATATGTACTAGATTTTAAATAAGTGATTTTTTTCCAATGGAAACTTGTTTGCATAATTTAATAATCAAATTTAATTTAATTATCAAATTTCATCATTTAATTATCATTGAATAATCAAACATTTTAGTTGTGTTCATGAAATGAAGAGCTGATTAAATTTTTGGAAAGGCAGGTCTAGCTCTGTAAAAAATGCCATTTGGCAGTCCATAATGAACATATGCACATCAAATAAACAGATATTTTATAGAGATTTTAGAAATAAGTTCTTATATTTATATGGGTTCCGTACCAAGATTTATAATTTTTCAACCGTTTGACTGCGACACAACGCGATTGCTTTGAAAAAAAGTTCAAAATTCTCAAAAAAATTCAAAATATAAAAAAATAAAATTATTCAAAAAGTGAAGTTATCAAAAATATCACAAATCTCAAAAATCTATTTTTTCAAAGTTTTCTAAAAATTTTAAGGCTTTTTAAAAATTCTAATTTTCGTTATGCAATTTACCTTAAGGCACAATACCATACCATACCGCATAAATGATTGTTTATAAAAATTGACCACATGGCTTTTGACACTATTTATTACGATTTTGTATGAAAACTTTTACATAACTCAGCCATATAATATAAATTAGAATAAATCTTAATTTGTCATATTAGTTTTACATACTTTAATATCATACTATATTCTCTTTTATTTATATACCGTTATTTTTTAACCGTAATCAATTTTAATTATATTATATTCATAATGCGAAATACTTTATTAATTATGCTACTCTGTATATAATTGCCTAAGTGTAATACTATAAATACATATTGATAATACAAAAAAAATTCTATTAATAATGCATTTTATAAAAGAATTTTTTTGTTATCGGTTTTATTTCGCTGCAAGGCACAATTAATTGAATATTCGTAGATCAAAGAGATTGATGAACTTTCATCTTTTACATTTTTATTATCAGCAAATAACGTAATATTTCACTTCATTTTAATTAAAAAACTCATCTATTAATTTTAATTAATATTGTATAATTTTTGTTTTTAAATCGTTCAATTTGTTCTCATTTACTAATTTTTAGGAACTTTATTTACTGACTTTATTATAGAGTTCATCCATTTTTTATGATCAATGCTATCTATTAACGAAATAAGTATTATTTAGGTTAATTATATATATATATATATATATATATATATATATATATATATATATATATATATATAAAAACATACCATTCTCATTATTTCATGTGTGTTAATAAGCGAAAGTAAATTGTTAATTATAGAGTCAATATTTGGTAAGATACTAATATTTCATCATGACACCTTAATTTCATTTTTTGTTAAATAATAGAAAAAATAAATACAGTTTATAAATATTCATAAAAGATTATAGCGAATATATGGAAATGAGATAGCCGACGCAGGTGCTGAAGATGGTGCAAGATTAAATTGCTCATTTCGCGTATAACTAGCTATTTAGATATATGATTTATATAGAAAAGCATTGTTTTTATCTAATTGAAAGAATATTTTGATTATAATAATAGGTGTTTTGCCCGAAGGCAGATCTATTAACTAAGTTCGACGTTAAATTGAATCTGGGAGATGTTTCGTTGTCATTTCACAATGCAGTGATCGAATTGACAATTTTAATTAGGAACATATTTTTCATCTATTTTATTAGGTTTAAGATATTCTTTCATATTTCTTTGTTAGCTTTTAAAACACTCAAATATAAAAGTTTAACATCAATATTTTTGAATTTTAAGCATTTTAAGCAAACGAGGATGAACCTGCTGCTTCTATTTAGCAATATAAATAAAAAAAAATCGAAATTTTTTTGGTGCTAAAATTGTTTTCGTAACCAGTCTTCCT